GTATTCTCGAAGTTTTTCAGAATATGTCTTTATAATTTATATAAATACATTAAAATAACAATAAGAATTGTATTTAAGAATTAATTAACATTAATGATTATAGGACCGTGTCAGGAACGAAATAAATATTGCTTTTCAAGAAAATGGGAATAAATTCACTATGAAATTATTGCAACAGCTACCATATTTAGAGAGATGTATAAAGGAAGCGTTGCGCTTGTATCCCAGTGTCTTTCTTATTACACGCAGTTCTGGGAAAGACTTAAAATTACGTAGGCATCAAATCAATCTTTTGTTGTATTCCTAAATTAATTTATATATATATATATATGTAATGAAACAAACTTAAATATGTATAAAATGTAAAATTCTCATTTTAAAAATACTAATATTTTTATATTTTTATTATTTAATGTATATAATATTCCAAAAATTTTGTATATCAAAGTTATATATGTATAATACAACAGATAATTCCCAAAATATAATAATATTTCTAGAAAATTTAAATAATTAATTAAGTAATATTATTTTATATTTTTTTATTACTCATACTCAAACTATATTTGAACACATACTCCTTCACATATATCAAATAGATATTCAACTGTAAAATTTTAATAAAGTTTATAATTCTTATTTATAAATATTTTATTTCATAATATAATATGCTTTTTAGAATCATATGTAATTCCTCCTGGAATAATGCTGCATATTAATATTTACGGAGTCCACAGAGATCCCAATTTCTGGCCAAATCCAGAGGTATTTGATCCAGATCGATTTTTGCCTGAGAAGATCCATAATCGTCATCCTTACTCATATATACCATTTAGCGCTGGACCACGTAATTGTATCGGTATGTTACATTTTTGTATTATTCTCTTAGATAAACAGATTACAATTATGTATTAAATTATAGGCCAACGATTTGCTATGTTGGAAATGAAGGCTATGATAGCCTCTCTGATACACAATTTTTACTTGGAGCCCGTTGACTATTTAAAGGATCTTCGAATGGAGGTTGGTATCGTACTTGGCTTTGCTGATCGAATTCGTATAAGATTTGTTCCTGTCTGTAATCTTAATACAAATCTTTGAATCAAATACCGATTTAATAAGCGTCATAGAAGACAAATGTTAGCAAGGTAAAAAAATATGATACATTTTATGTATAATCAATTTTTTTTATGTATAATCAATAACATGTATAAGATTTGTTGACGCGAACTTCACAGGGCAATAATCACGTTACGCGTTCTCTGAATTGCCAAAATCCAGAGATATTTAAACCAGATAGATATTTGCCCAAGAAAATCTGTAATCGTTACTCTTACTTATATTTATCATTCTATGTTGGACTACGTAATTGCATCGAAAAATTCGCAAAGCTTAATAAAAGCATATTCGGTCACCTTATATATTACCTAATCGCGAGCAAGAGAGTTAGAACGCATTAAAGAGATGTCAATCGGAATTAAAAAATAAAATAAACTATCCGATCAGAGATAATTACATATGCGGCGTATAATTTAATTTTGTAATTTACATTTAATAAATAGTGTTACATGTAATAAAAGTGTTGTCGCGTTTACGATTTCTCCTACACAGCATCCGACAATTATGTATGTAACACACGAAGGTGAAGGGACATGTATTTATGTAATATTTTATAAAAGACCAATGAATTTAATTCTTTTCGTTTCAAATTTTTACACTTCTTTTTTTCCTTCTATTGCTATTTTATTTCCTTTAATTTTTTTTTTTAATTATTATAAAAAAATATGTTTCGACATATCTGTTGATTACAAAAGATATTGTTAGCAGTATTATAATATTTTTTTATAATATTTTACCGATACCTGAAAGATAAAAGTAAGACGAGAAATGGAAGTTATTGACTTAACATTCGTTTTTTAGATAGAATGTGAGATATACACAGTGCGGTCCATAAGTTTCCGGACTGATTTTTTTGCAGCCTTCCCATTGACGCCATTTATCGGACGACTGTTGAACTACATAGTGTGAACCTTTTCGAACAGCCATGTTGAATGGCATAATTTTAGCCGCAGTTGTTGAAGAGTGCGGACGTTTGATATAGCTTGGTGTTGTGTGTGTGCGTCACACGCAGAGAAAGGATTGGCCAACGCAGCTAAAATATAGCCGTAGCAGCTAATGTGTGTTTTTAAAATATAGAGACAACTAATATTGTTACTGCCAAAGCTAAATTTATTAGTTGTTAAAATTTAGGCGCTACAGCGAAAAATATTTGCTGAAAAAATCAAATAATGTTTAGCTAATTCTGTTGAGGAATATCCAGCAAAACTTTTAAATTTTTCAGCAAAATCATTCTTTCCTTATGTCACTGTCTTAGCTACTTCTGTTAATGAAATATGACATAATAAAGAATAAAATATTTTCTAAAGTATTGATTTTTCGGTTACTTTACTTCAATATTTGTATATACAGAATACTTAAACAAATTATACACTATATACAGAAATGTATAATTTTATTTTAAGAAAGCAATGATCTTTATATAATTTTGAAAAATTGATTTTTTTCAATTTTTGTCCCTTTTCAAACCGTGCAACTTTTGTCTGAAACAATGTTTCACGTCTTTGACAATTTTCGAGATATTTATATTTTTTATTTTAAATAAACCACCCTGTATAACAAAATTAAATATAAATAAATAATATAAAATTGAAATTGTTATATAATTTAATTCAGTAAGATAACCAAAAGTAGACGATGTGCATTAAAATCCAATTCTCTTCGACTTTTTCGCATTCCTTATCATATACAATTTTCATATAACTATCAATTACTTCAAACAAATCTTTTTAATTGCAGTGCTTTATTATTTTTCAGAAATAACAGTGCAAAGATTTTAAGGGAGTATTCTAGTGTGACCGGTCAAAAAAATCGATTTTTTTCTTTTTGCATATTCTTATAGTTTAGGGTCTTGAAAATGTGTTTCTAAAATATTAAGATGAAATTGACGGAGCTACAGAGGTTTAAAAACGTAGCCCCCGCGCGCGTCCATGCGGCTCGTCGCCCGTGAATCCTATGCAGTAGACAGATTTTTTGCGTGTCAGGTAGTATTTCTTTACGTAGCCAAATAGTGCTATATATAGCTGAGAAAAGTATCCTGTACGGCCCTGGTATAGATAACTAAGGGTAAGTTACTGAAATTACTCATTATCCACCTTGTAAACGCATGAGAAACTTTAAACGCGTTTTTCTCGAAACGACATTTTTCAAATCGGGCGTCTATTTTTCACACAAACTACTGGGCCGATTGACTTGTATTTTTGCACACTTATAGTGTACATATTAGGCTATTGTTTGACCTACAAACTTTTTGATATCTTTAAAATTACTATTTTTCTGGACCGTAAAAATTAAAAATTTTTTATTAAAAATCGAAGTACTTTTATTCAAGCGTCGCCATTTTGTCAATTGTTCTTAAAATTATTTATTAGTAGGTCGAACGATAACCACATTTGTAAGGAATAAAATAAAAAAGAGCTCGTTTATTTGAGATGACGAGGACGGATCGGCCGCAATCGCTACGCCCGATAGAAGAGGAATTTCAAAACATGACCTGCGCGTCCATTTGTGCCATGTGTAATTCTCAATAAAAAGCATTAAAAAAATTTGAGATGTTACTTCAAAATATGTATAAATGTAAAAATAAAACATTACATCTGTAGGTTTAACCGTTTTTATAAAATTAATTCTCAAATGTCACTTTAAAAACGGACGTTCACATTAGAATACCCCCTTAACAATAAAGATATGTGCTACATATAATCGTACTAATTATGTGTTTCAATCAAATTATACTTATTATTAGATTGACAATTAGAGAACTCCTTTTCTATCACCATGATATTAAAGTATCGAATTGCTGCATCTTATTTTTTACAACTATCGTTTTTCTTCGTACAGAAGGGAGATTGCGATGAAACGGATACACAGTAGTTTCCCTCTAGAGAATAGCTAGGCTCAAATAGTCTGTTGTCCACAACAACGCAGTTGGTTTTGTTGGAAGAACAACCGGGCACAAGGCTACAAGAATACCCAATCATGATATAATATAAAACAATACGATTACAATAGTTGCGCAATAAACGCGCGATCAAAGAGATTATAAACAAATAATTCTAAGCGAAAAAAATAATTCTTAATTTATACATACTTAGGAATCGGGATTTTTCTAGGCCTAAAAAAGAATAAATATAATGTATAATCGATTATAATAATGTAACTTTCATTTTATTAATACACTTCTCAACAAAATTAAAGCATCACTTACTCTACCCTCCAAAAATAGACAAAGTTCAAGAAAGTGTACCTTCGTCAAAAATAATCGTATCGAGATGTACAAAAAAGCATTTTACAGTCTGAAATCTCTACTTTTCAGATCGGCACTTTAGAAAACAATCCTATTGATTTTTTATAGAATTACATAGGTCCAAATGAAAATGCGTCAAATCTCCAAAAATGTGTACTAAATTTAAAAGATTTCATGGCATAAACTAAAAATCGCACACAAATGCAGTTTACTGCATTCGAAAGAGTGAATCTTTACCTTTCAATTTGTCTTTTTTTGTTTGAGCGTTGTACGAATTTTTTTTCACCGAGTTATTCAACATTGAA